TTATTTACTGCTGTTATTTGAAATGTCTTCAGCAAAAAGATTTCCTTTGAATTGGTACATCTTTTACCCCTTAAGAATATTGAAGCCGTCTAACAAACAACGACGTCTGAACAAAAAGAGATTTTCGTAGTACTCCTTGCCTTTGATTTCTTTCTACTTAAATTAAGATGACTCAAACAACATAAGTATCATAGTATTTCGGTTACTGCGTGTCTTACGAGATATTTCTGAAGTATTATCCCTCTTCTTTTTATGAAAATTTCGAAATACGTTTTGTACCAATAATAAAGAAGTGTTGCTTTTTTTTGAGAGAAGGGTAAGGGCACGAAAATAATTTTATACAAAGTAGGCTAAAAAACGAACATCCATATTTTAATACCGTTATTGCGGTTAGCCTAAAAATGCCACTTTTGAAATGAAAAGTGTACAGCGTCACAATTTTTTTATTTTGATAATTTTTATACGTTGCCACGTAAACGAGAATTGCACTGTAGTTGCAGAGAAAATGCACAATTAAACACAAGCCTCGTAATAAACTAGAAATCTATTCGAAAAGTTATAAACACAACATCCGGTAAATTAATCTCCAACTTTTTTCCTTTATTTAGACTAGAACAATGAGCTGGGATTATAAGCTTACTGAAACTAAAGAAACTACTACCGCACAAGCACAAACTTAAACAATAAAATCTTAATCATGCCACACAAAACTAAACTTTGAACATAACCTCCATTGCACCAGCAACTTCCGTTCAACTACAAACAAACCCACCTGCAAGACGTTTTCTTGCAATAGTCGACTCAACTTTGCAAATTTTCCTCAACATTTTAACATGTTTTTTTGCTTTGTGTTTATTGACTGTTGAAGTTGTCCACTTGAACGAACTGGAAATTGAAGAGCTTTCAGAGCATTTCCAAAGTGAAAATAGCCATATTTAATAGAAACCCAATAATTTGAGTCTAAAAATATTTTATGAGGGTGGATCATGCTTCGCTTCGCTTTTCCATAAAATTATTGGGAATCTTTGATAGTTAAATGCACATAGGTGAGGTCGATATGACTACGCATTAAATATTAAACCGCAGTTAATATTCGATACGAAAATTACCGGTATCGCCGTAATTAACTGTACATTGTCGTGTAGGAGCTATACATCAATAATGTGGTTATGCATTTAAGGAGGGAACACAATTGAAGGACGATGTGTAATCTAGGACGCTTAATGCAACTGCAAAACCGTTTTGGGATGCCATAAATCATTTTTCGTAATGCATTCTGTATGAGATAGCTTTTAGAAAAGGTTTATTAAAGATGCGCTTCCGGAGATGAGTTTACATTTTCCTTAGCAAAACAGTGAAGTGGATCTATAACCTGAAGGAAATGAGCGATTTATTATTTGGACAGGAAGAAGTACACATTTTTAAAAACCTTAAGATGTTTCGTTGCTAAAAACACTGACGCTGCAGAAGAGTGTATTTGTAATTAATGGTTGTCTTCGCACTTTATCAAATAATTCCGTCTTAAAGCTCGTAGATAAATTAAAAGTTAATGGATATTGGTAAGCAGATAAATGAGCTAAGCTCTTAAAGATAACAGAAATTTATCTTCAGAGCAGTAAATCTCTCATTAACGTAAATATAATAAAACTGCGTTTAGAGAATCTTGAAATTTTCTAATTTCCGTTTAATAATTACCGTACGAAAAGCATTTTTTTTATTTAATGTAATTAAATCTGACAAATGTGAAACACATGCACAACATCGAGTGTGACTTTAATTTTAGATAACGTCGGGGTGTAAAACTCAACCTGCATCATCTAAATCTGTTATGACTATTTAAACCTGTAAAGTGCTTCTGTTTTCATTTCATTTTAAAATGGTAATTCTGTGGTACGTCATGCATACTTCACTGTAAAAGTCGTTGCTTTGAGTTGACTTCCGCCGAGTATCATGAATTAATTAATTTAGAGCATGCACTGGCATCGCTTTCAATTTTTAACGTCGCAAAGCGCAAGGGAATCTCCAATACTAAAACGATCATCACACTTCGGATTTATTATTTTTTTAATTTTCCGAGCAATAGCTAAGAGGACGATTCAAATAACTAATGGACGAATCTCCAATCTTTATTTTGGTGTTTCACAACACAAACAATACAAAAATGCAGTAACCCCATTTAAAATGTATTTATGCAACCCTTTTCTGTAGAGGGACTCTTGATTGAAAAAAAAAAAATTAACTAGTCTTGGCCTGTTAGATATTTATCTCTTCGTCTACCTTATTTTGCAAAACATGTTACAATACGGCGTGAACTGTGCTCCAAAGCGAAGGGAAGTTCACAAGTTTTTAGTTCGAATCTAATTTTAACAAAATTAGTTGCAAAATAACACCTACAGGGACTTATTTTTTCTTTTATCACGCAGTTGCAGATAAATAGTGCGAATATAAAATCTTTATAACATGACTGACGTGACTTGGTAAAATAAATATACGAACAAAATTATAAACCTACCTATCCCACATCGTGCAATAAAGACGAAGCGACATATACATGGTGCGGCGTCGTTTGTGAACTATACAGAGAAAATAAAAATAACAAACGTGCAATGTGTTTGCTGTTGTTGATTTTTAAAGGGATAATAAACATGTGTTGCTCTCGAGTAGCAGGACGGGACGTGCTCAGATCTTACTTTCTATCACACGAGTTTTTATTTACATGTCTTTTTCAATTTACCTTCCACAAACTGAAGTGTATTTATAACTCAGATATCATACAAGGTTTCCATTTTTGGATTACCCTTGAACAACATCCAGGAAATTCCTTTTTAGCATAACTGTTGCTTATGTCATTTCAGTTGGATGTAAACAAAAAATTGACATGCATAAAGTGTGTAATGTGCTAACTGCATCCTTGCATTACAAAGTATACCATGTTGTCAAATACGTGCTTCTTTTTATCTATCGATCGTAGAGTACCCCTTGAAAAATATTTAAAGTTTGTACAACAGTATTCTCAGTTGACTATGACTATTACTGGGAAACATCAAAGTAGAAAACGGAATAAAGAAGGAAAAACGAAAATTTAGTAGAAAATAATATAACTGAAAATTTAATTCACCGAACGTCCCTCTCGCTTGAAGCGTGACCAATACCAATATTGGTAGAAAGTGGTTTGGTATCTGTAGATAAGGGTGAACATGTTGTTTGCTTTTTTTTGCAGACAATCTGTGGCCAAGTAATCCATGTTCCTTGAGTTATGAATTCTCTCGGTAAATTATTTTTGGTTTTGGGAATGGACACCATAATTGACTCGTCGTTATATTTAAGATCCTCTGTAGAGAGGTTTGTGAACTCCTCACGTCTGCAGGCCCCACTGTAACCAATTATCAAGATGATCTAAAATACATATAAATTTGGTATAAGTACATACTTGAGACATAATTTAAAATAAACATTGGTCGAAAGTTGTTTCGATAGAACTTCCCTCGCTCCTGAAGTATGCAGTATTTTCGAGTTGAGTTTTTTCTTTACACAATTTTGTGATCACGTCATCAAGATTTTTGCAAGGACATGTATATCAACTTGAATTGGTGCAGTGTAATACTAAAAATAATAGTATTGAACTCCTAAAATTTTCTGTGAAAATGAAGTGAGCCGTTCATGATTAAATCAATAAAATAAATTGTCTCATTCATTAATTTTTTTGAGCCACATATTTAAGTAAATTTAAAAAATATTAATGCAACGATAAATCACAAGTAAAAACTCATCACATTTTGCACGTTTTGGGTAGAATTTAAAAATCAACATGGATAATTCTAGTCACAACGTAAAAGAAAAGTAGTCACAGGGTTATACCAAAACAAGAAAAAAAAAGGAAGGGCCAAGTTCGGCATTGAACCACAATCGCAATACTGCAGGTCGCCATTATCTCCGATACACCTCTGCATTATTCCTAATTTCTCAACCCTGCTCCTGAAGATGCCACTTACGAAAGTGTGCGAAACGTTGAGCCGAAAAACTCAATTGACACGGTCCCAACCCGGAAAACGATCATATACTTATTGACTCCGACCGTGGAAGCCTCCGAAATTATTTCCAAAACCTCTACGGGGAGGACATCTCCAATCAAACTCTTCTTTTCTCCAAACTCCGCCAGAAAATGGCAAAACTCCTGTCTTCACTCTCACCTCTCTTTCTCGCTGTCGTGACCACAACATAATCACCAAATTTCTAAAACTCAAAAACCAGTTCTCCACTTTCTCATCAAGAAAAATTCTGACTAAAGCCAGCGTGTCCCTCCTACGTGACCGCATCTATGCCACTAGACGGGATCTTGATCTCGTGCCCAGAGACCTCCTAGAACTTCATTTAGCACTTTGCAATTCTTTTTGCCCCATCCACTGGTCTCTTTTTGATCGAATCACCCACATCCAATCCTAAACAACTCTTGACCAAAAGAAACAAGTCCATGTCCGAAAATTTCAGTCCCTTGCCCCAAAACTAAAAAATCGTCCACAATCTGCTATTAAAACGATCGTCAATTTGTCATCTTACCCCTTTCCAAATTAGAGAACACACTTTTGTCAAAAAGCCTTAATTTTGCCATCGCTCCTAAGAAAATTCAAATTGGGAAAACTTCCATCACAAATCTGCCAAGAGAAAACGCAGACTCTGTTCGCTTCAAAACAGCTAAAATCCGGCACTCAGCATGCCCCCCAAAACCCAGACTGTCCAAAGAAGAAAGGACCGCTTTCACTTCTCTTAAAACTAATACCGACTTAGTCATCCTGCCCGCTGACAAGGCAATGCCACACAGTCATTCTGGACAAAACATAATACGTCGATAAAATACACTCCTTGTTACAAGACGGTTCCTATTCTATTCTTCTTCGCGACCCAATTTCCCGCATTGAACGTGATATCACAACTCTTTTGAGATCGGGTGATTTCCCAACTGATGTACTCAAACGTCTAATACCCAGAAACTGCAAACCACCATGTATATACGATCTCCCAAAATTCACAAAAATAATTGCCCTATCAGACCCATCGTCAGTACTTTGGAGTCTCCCACTAACAATACTGCCCAGTATCTCGCCCGTGTTCTGAAAGCATATACCGGGCAAACCTCCTCACATATTCTTAACTCCTCACTTTTTGTCCAACTGATCTCCGAAATATCTCTTGACCCCAAAGATAGAATTGTCAGTTTCGACGTAACAACCTCCACTTCTTGGCGATCTCGCAGAAAAATGTCTAACCTCCACATATTGACCTCCCAAGGCCAATTCTACAAACAAATCTCTGATACTCCCATGGGATCCCCTCTCTCACCAGTCCGCCCAACTCAAACCCAAAGTCTGGTTCCCCTACATGGACGACACATGTGTCATATGGCCTCATGGTCAAACGCCCTTTCAGTCTTTCACGACCTTTTCAACAGTCAACACCTCGACATTCAGTTTACCATGGAAGTGGAAACCAACAATTGTCTTCCTTTTCTTGATGTTATGGTAACCATGTTACCCGATGGTCAACTGGGTCATTCAGTCTATCGAAAACCCACCCATACCGATCGATTTCTTGACACAACGTCTCAACACTACCCCGCCCAAAAACGGTCTGTCATTGACTCCCTAATTCATCGAGCCACTACCATTTGTCAACCTAACAAACTCCAAAAAGAATTAGAACATCTCCAAACATCTCTTCAACAAAATGGATACGACCACCACTCTATCAAGTCTGCCATTCAACGACGGCTTAATCCCAACTCTGACAATACTTCAAATCGCCCAACTGATTTCGTATCGACTGCATATCTCCCATTCATTCCTCAGGTCACCGACCGTCTGTCCAAAATACTCTAAAGGCAAAAAGTTAAAACAGTCTTCAAACCTGCAACTAAAATTGCACAAATTCTTCCTTCCGTCAAAGATTCTCGCCAAGCTCTAGACTGTAGAGGAATCTACGACATCTTCTTCGCAATTCATTTTTACAAATAATATAACATTTCAGATTAAATTTTTTCATAGCTGCCCTTCTTACATTCTGTACATTTTGCCAACTCTTGCAAAATTCCCCAGATTTCGAAATTTCATAGTTTTGTTTAAAAAGGCGCAAAGTAGAAAAAAAACTGCATGATAGCTCGTTTATAAGACATTTTGTCGCACTTACTTCTTACATTTACATTTTAGAACTTTCCTTGTAGAGTGAAAACAAAACCAACAAAAGCACAGAAAGTTTGCTTTTTTTTATAAAACACTCAGCACTGTCTAGACAATTAATATTGAAACTGTTGTTGGAGGCAGATTATATTTAAATAGTAACGACCAAAGTGATAGTATTTCATTCGACGTATACACATTATGCAGTGTCACGCTCCTGGTCATATTACTCTATTTAAGAACGGTCAGAATCGCACATTATGATCACAGCCATCATCAATATCTTTTAGAAGTTGAAGTATAAATGACATCAGAACACCAGTGGAGGACATTTATTGAAAGAGGAAGTAACTGTAAAAGGAACCTATTTGAATTGGGTAATGTAATAAGGATAGCACGCATTTTTTTAACGCAAAAGAGTTGCTTGGATTAAAATTGGTTTTAATTAATTAATCTAAAGTTGACGTTAAAGTAAATATGCTTCACGAGGGATACCGCATTATTATCATACTCGTGTGTTTACTCAACTCAACTAGCAGCAAATCGTGAGCGAACTTTATACTCGCCGGTAATGATGCTTTTATCCCACTTGGAACATAAATAATTGTGAATGGTGTGGGAATTAGAACAAAGTAAGGATGCGTCAGAAATCTTGTTTCCATATAAATTGTTTGCTTGGGTTTATAAAATCAAGAACGATAAAGAAAAGTCATTGTTAGAACAGTGTTTCACTAAGGACTTACCCTGTATTGTAACTTTTTTATTAGGAAAATAAATGGGTAAAGTCTGGGACACCTCTATATTGTGTACAAAACAGAGTATGTTAGTTATATTATATACCAATTTTGAACTCATTTATTGCTTATTATTTAATTTTCAAGTAAAATACGGCGCAAAAACTCTTGAACCTTCAACGACTGATACCAAAATCTTGAACATCAGTTTTTTCAGGAATACATAAAATATAAACCTTCATTCGATTTATTTCGCGTTATTTTCCAAAAAAAAAATTTATTTTCAAACGTCATATAACTGACACTTATATGACGCTCTTACCGGGGTTTAAGTGTCATTTCTATGACACCGTTTTTGAGCGGCGTATAAGTACTACTTATACTCCGCCGGCGTATAAATAAAACATTTATACTCCGCCGATGTATAAATATGTGAAAATCATAGTGGTTGTCAACCATAGTAACCATGGTAAGTGAAATCAAGGCAATTCCTTAATGAAGCAAAAAGATAGGAAATAATCCTTTGAAAATAAAATATTGTATTTCATTCGGAGTTTAAGTGACTTCATGTGACTCGTATGGACTTATAATTCGCCTCGCTATCGCTCGGCGTTTAATCGTCCATACTCTACACACAAAGTATCACTTAAACTCCTAATAAAATAAATATCTATTACTCTTAATAACGCACTTTTAATTTAGATAAAAGTACTTTTTTGAGATCGAAAAGTTACAGTCTTAGGGAAACACTTTGTAAATCGATGAAGGTAATGACGGAGCAAAGAAAAGTAATAAATAAACATATGGCTTAAAGCAAGCGCGTTGTGAAGTAAAATTCGTATATTTATAGATACATAGAAGTGTTAAGAGAAATGCGGAAACAGCTCTGGGCGAAATTGTATTTCACATATGCAGATGCCGACAGACATTTAAGCAGAATGGTTGAATAGCAAATGTGATACTCGCAATTGTGTTATTTATTCACTCTATAGTTTTGGATTTGCTGGCCCTGCGTTGGTCAAAATAGAGATTTTCGTAAGATTTTTCAAAATTCGATTTGTCAGAAAAATATAAGTGAGCTCTGAATCATTAATGAAAAGCCAGAAACATGGCCACAAAGACTGTTAATGCGAACAATAACAAAAAGTGCTCAAACTCTCTTTAAGCATAACACAAAATGCAGGAAGTATCAACGCGCCTCGAAAAATGAATACAACGAAACACGAAATTTCGGCTGCTTTCAGCAGGAAAACCCGCCGGAATTAGGGGAATTCACTCGACACGCATGCATATATTTCAGGGGTTTCATACAGTTCAGTGTGGGAAAAGAAAAATATCGCCTTTCAGTTCAGAGTCGTTACGAGGATTGGCTATTACCGCTATTCGGGATAAAAATGGATATTTATAAAATTATTTTTAAATTGAATTTACATATTTATATGGGTATATACCATATACATATATATCAGGAGCGGTTCATGGGCAAATAGGTGACAACAGAGGAATTTCCTCGTCCTCGTGAATCGTTTTATAACGTCTGTTTAGATATGTTAAATATATATTTTGCGCTGACTTATCTCTAGGGCAAACTCCATAATTATTTCCTCATTAAAGGAGAAAATCGACCAGATGAGCTTTCGTTCGATTAAAAAACACACGAACACTGTTTTTGGAGCAAATATTTTCATTAAACTTTCGTATATACATAATTTGGTTTCATTTTGAGTGGTTCATCATGTTTACCAGGCACACAAAAAAATCAAATGATGTATACTCAGAACGGTATTTATGTATCCAATAAAAATTTATGATGTGATTATGAGGAGTTAGACGAGACAATAGCAGGGTTAGTGACGATTATAAAGTGACCCTTGGGCGAAAATACAGGGATAAAATTATACCTGTGATAATAAACCTAAAAACTGTCAAGAGAAGCCTCCGACGAAGATGATGACATATACATACAGGGTACCTCAGATAAAATTCCATCGCCTTATATCTTGAGAAAGAATAGAAAAATGGAAATTATCTTATTGAAAAACTATAACTACGTTGCTGTTGACAATTGTTTGAACGTTTTGTTATACTTGAACTTGATATATAAAAGACATAGAAACATGGCTGTGATTCAATAGGTAATTGCAATCGTAGACATTTACATAGCTTCGAATGTCCATATCTACCTACCTACGTGTAAAACCACTGAAGTAAACAGCGACTTTCTGTATCTGTATCAGTTTATGAGAGGTAGGTAGTTATCTTTCACAAGTGGTGACTCTGAAAATATTTTTTGTGTGTTTAAGACCATAAGCGGATGCGGTTTTAAGCTATTTGTCAACTCGCCTATCATCAGATGTGGGCTGTGACAATAGAATGAGATAAATATAGGTGATGACATTTGACTGATTTATGTTAATAACATCACCTGCGAAACAGAAACCTCGCTTATCGTCGCCACCTCCAACGTATTTTTTCCGATAAATTCTTAAATTATCTCCAACAATTAACTAATGGTTGATGGCCTCTGTCCCTACACTTTTTCTAAAGCAGCGAAAGCTAAGCTTTTTCAAGCACCACGTCACCGCTCTATTTTTAATCCCAATTAATCGACACTGCTTTATTTATAAAGCTCCCCTGCCTTGCTGTTATCAGACGCCTCATTGACAATTCCCATAAACTTATTTGTTTTAACGAAACTCGTTCTATTTTTAAATCTTGTCTTATCTGTAGAATTTATTGATCAAGAACCCGAGCTGCGACCCATCAATACCACATCCGACCCTTAAATATTCCAATAAAACTTATCACGACAAAAAAAAATACTTTTTATGCATCACCCGTCGGCTACAAGGAGCGAATTTCGGGTCAAGTCGTAATCCCAAGGGTCGCACCTGGCCACACTTCCATGCAAAAGGTGTCGGTGCTTCGACAGCTTTCGACAAATCCGAGAAATCACTTGAAAACTTTGTTTTATCGTCGTGTTTTTGTCTCTGAGAAGTGCAAGATCTGCGCAGCCATCAAGGGAACATGTAATAGCGAGCTAATTAAAGTTGAAACGTGTTTAATTTCACTTGCGCACAATTTTCTTGAATTGTTCGGGCCAAGAAGCTAACCTGTTGGACACGTAACGAAATGTCGAGACAACGCAACGGTGATAAAAATAGGATGTTGTGGTACAGAACGTTACAGATCCGAGCGAAAGCCACATGTTTATTCATTACTCACGAAATGGATTATTAGGGAGTTCTTGCTTACGAAAGTGTGGCTTTGGATGTGATGCTTTGGTGGAGTGCTATTTTGGATCTTAGCGAAGTTCCACGACTTATAAACACTTAAACTGGAAGGTGAGGCTGAATTTTTGTCTTTAATTACAATTTTTAAATGATATTAAATCACTTTCCATTAGAATTTGTTATCGATTTTAAAGAACTTTTTTATTAATTCCCGAGCGTAAGCTAGGGAAGTTCAGTAATCGACTCCATCGGGTGATTTGCCAGTTTCATATTTTCTCGATGTTTCATGACCCCTAGAGTACGAAAAAAGTGATCTCCCGCTTCCATCTGTTTGTTTGTCTGTCTGTCTGACGTCTGTGCAGATTTTTATTAAACACGTAACCTCCGAAACTACTGGACTGATTGTTGTCAAATTTTGCATGTATATTAGGAATATCATGTAGGTGCTTAAATAGCTAACCAAAATTTGGTAATCATTCTCACCAACAATGGATGACGTCATGTCAAAGAATTCTATTTTAGAATGATTTAAATGTTATACAACAATATATTTCTATGTATGTGGTTTAAGATTCGCTTTGAATTGTTTCCCTAAACGTCCAAATTTTCGCAAAAAAAATTAACACAGTATAATAGCATGTTGTCGCACGTTATAATACCAAACTTGGCAGTTTCATTTTTCAAATTAAGAACGCGTCACCCCATTTTCTCGGAAATGTGAGAATACGCATCTTTA